TTTTTTTTTTTGGTACCAGGGATCAAACTTGGGACCTTCCACTTGCGAGGCAGGTGGCGGCACCACTGAGCTAAATCTCTGGCCCTAGACTGCTTTACTTTTTATTATACAAGTATAAGTAAAAGGTTAAGTTTATCTGTTTTTTTGTTTCTGTTTATTTGTGGATGCTGAGGATTGAACCCAAAGCCTCCAAATGTTAAGCCTATGCTTTATCACTGAGCGACATCCCCAGCCCCTATCTAGGTTTTTCATACCAACTATTTTTCTTGATTAAATCAGTATATGCAGAGGCCAGGGATTTTGCTCAGTGGTTCCACTGCCTGCCTCGAAAGCGCAAGGTGCTGAGTTTGATTCCCGGTACCAAAAAAAAAAAAAATCAGTATATGCAGGTGGCAGGAAGATTAGAATCCCTGATCCTGGGATACTGAGGTGTGTCTTGTTCCCATAATTTTTTGTTTTGTTTAGTATCCTGCCACCTGTGTTTTAAAAATAGAAGTGAGAAAGGCAAAAATAAATTAATTTATAAAACAAACCCTCTTCTTTGCAGTTCCTGGTTTCTAGCACCCTTGGCACTGCTGTTGTTGCGTATTGGTTTTTGACACCCAGTCCTCCTCTTAAATTCTTTTCTTAATGCTCTTTAGATGTATATGACACTCAGAATTTGAGTAATACTCTTAAATAATATAAATATCACAGTGTTGATTTCTTTGTAAATTATTGTTGTACAGATTAGCTGCGGCTGAAGGCTCAGAGCCAAAGTATCGGATTCGGGAACAAGAAAGCAGTGGAGAGGAGGATAATGATCTCTCACCAGAAGAGCAAGGTAGTTTATTTCCTCTCTGCTTTCAGCTTTCACCATGATGGTAGTAATTTTTGCTAAAATAAATTCATTATTTGGAAGGCTGGAAATGGTTTTCATTTTGGGTAAGTGAAGGGTAGGAAAGCAGAAAGCAGTATTTTTATAATATAAATTCTGCTTGAGTGCTTATTGTATGATAATTTCCCCCTGGTTTTAAGAATTTAGAAATATTGCCATCCTTCAAGTAATTGTAAATATTTCTTTCTTACTACTTTTTAATACCTGGGATGATAGATACTTAAATACTTAAATTAATGCTTTTAAGAGTCGAGTGTTATAATCGATAATGCAAAATAGGAAGAAAAGTTCCAAACGGGTAGGGGTGGGTAATGGGAGGGGCAGGGGAAAGGAAAGAAGGAAAAGGAAAAATGATGAGAAATGGAAAAAATGGAAATAAAGTCTTTGTAAATAGGGAAGGGTGGAGG